CTATGGTCTTGCTTTCTGCACTGCACCCCCAGCTCCCTCAGACCCTTCTGTGGGAAACTTCTGCAAGTTTCCAGCTTCCTTTCCTTTATCCTTGAATGGGAATATCCAGAGACACTTCACTTATCTCATGCTAAGGTCTATTTTCTATGGTTACATCTCATATATGCTCTATGCACAGCATCTCTCAAATGTAACCAACTAATGTTTCAAAGAAGGTCATAAGATAACAGATACCAAAAGGAAAAAGAATGCAAATATTCTAACAGTGCCCTATCTTTTGACTCCTCTGTATCTGCACTTAGCTGAAACCCCCATCATTCCCACTGGTTCCATCTGCAGAGCAGTGAGGTGTGAACTGTAGGAATTCCAGAGGAAACCAAACCAGAAACTCCACTACAGGAACCTCTCAGATGTGCTCCAACTACTAACAGTGACATCAGGGTTCAAACCAATTCCTTCAGCCTCCAACCATGCCCTTGGTGAGGAAATGCAGTGCAGCAGGCCACACCAAATCCAGCCAAATATAAAACAAACCCTGGATTTCAGTAAAGGGGAGGTGTAGGGCCATACCCACTGATTATTGCCATTTCCTCATTCCCTGGTTACACCGAACTACTCACAAGCACATACACAGCCTTAGATTTCTCCAGGTTTCTCAGTGAATGAATTTACTCTGCAGAAAAGCAGAAGCAGTGGAATTTAGGTCATTACTGAAATTGCTCTGCTCTGTTTGTACAAGCATTTGGTGGAACAAAGTGCCAGACTACTCCTTTTTCCCCCCTAGAAAGTTTCTTCACTCCAACCTGAAGTGCAGGTGCAACCTCAGTCCAGATGCACAGGTCCAATGGTTCACTCTCCTGTAGTTTACAGCCACATGTAAATAGCTGGAAGAACAGCCCAACTGGGAACCCCTTTTGACAAGCAGCATCTGGGAAACAATCAAAACTGTATTTTCCACAGCAGAAACGCACAAAAAGGAGAAGCTTAAATAAAGAGGATATACCTGATTTATGCATAAAAGGAAGTTGGTTTGTGTACAGGAGTGAGTTGCTTATGAAGTTGTAAGCATTAATATTCCTAACGGAGTTAGTATTACTCTAACTTAAATAGATCATGTTTGGCTCCAGGGACAACATACTGAACTGCTTCTAGGTAATTCTTTACTCCTGTCTCAATACTAGCACGATTTCAAGTTCAATTTTGACAAGTTCAAGTCCTGAACAGTCACTGTGGACTAGTTTGTGTATGCAATGAAAAAAGAAAAACCAAACCACCAAACTCATAATACCGCCTTGAACACAGGATTTGCTCTTTCACAGAGCCCAGCAACAGTAACATGCATTATACACTCTCCAGTGACCCAGAATGCTTTACAAACTGCCTTTCAGAACTACTCACTCCTCATAAAGCACAATCTCACTGAAATGCAGCAGCTACTTCTGAAGAAAACTCAGACTCATATCTAGGCCGGAGCAAATAAAGAACGGCATTTCCACCTCTGGTGAAAAGATTTGAATTTAGAGGCAACACCCAGCTAACTTTTGTTCCTGTTACATATGTTGGATGCTTTCTTGGCCAGAAAACAATATTTCCAACAGCCAGAAACTGAAAGAGTGCTATAGAGCATGAGACTGGCATAAACCCAAAGCAGTGCCTAACAAAAGCAACTTTTCCTTTGAAAAGCATCACCTGGCAGTGCTCTTTGACAGCAGCACCGTGACTGCCCCACCCAAGATCCGTAGAAAAGCGCACCAGAATAACCAGAAACTGAGCTGGACAGCCCGTGGAAAACACTCCGCACCATCAGCAGGGATGGAACAGGAACTGCAGGGGATCACCCTCAAGAAACCACGCTTCAGCATGTAAACAACAGTAACTTCTCAAATCCTTTCTGCTTTACCCAGCTCAGAAGTTACAAGTCACCCTCTTAATTACCACCGCTTTTTTACCTAAATAGATCAAGCCAAAGCCTCCCTGGCCGATCTGACTGCCCAGCCTCCAGGTTTTTCCTTCGGTGTCTTTCAGGATCATGTCTTTAGGGAGAGGGACTGGCAGTTTGCTTCTGGCAGGACCCTTGGGCGGCATCGTACCTTGAGAGGGGGAGAAAATGAAAGAGAAAGTTTGTTGAGAAAAGTTGCGGGAAGATACACTTATCCCCCGGTGGGCTTGGCCCGCAGCGCGAGCAGGGGCGCGAGGCGCTGCCCCTCAGTCCCGCTGCCCCTCACGCACCTCCACAGAGCGCCCTGGGCTTCCCGCCGCCGCCGGCCGCTAACTTCCCGGCCGGGAACTTCCGCAGCAGCAGCAGGAGAAGGAGGAGGAGCGGACGTCTGGATGCCCTGTTCCTGCGGGGAAACCCTGGGCGGGGAGCGAGGCAAGGCCGGGGCAGGGCCGGGACAGCCCCAGCCGGGCCGGGCCTCCCGCCCTCGCCTCAGGGCCCTCAGGGGCGCGGCGCGGGGCGGGGCGCGCGCCATTTCCCGCCTCCCCTCAGCCTGGCCGTGAGGCGCCAACACCGCCCTCCCTTCAGGGCGACGGAGCAACGGGGAGATGGAGCCAGGAGAAAGAGCTGCGTGTTGGTAGTCAGAGCAATGGGGAGATGGAGAGGGGATTTGGGCCTGGCAGTTGAGAGACGGAACAACAGGGGGATGGGGGACGGAGTAGCGAGATGGCGCCCTCGAAGCTGCCTCAGCCCCCAGGCGCACTGGCTCCTCGCCTCAGGGAGATGATGGAAGTCGGAGGAGGGAGATGGCACCTGCCAAGCCGCCTCAGCCCCAAGGGTGAGGAAAAGTGAGATGGAGGAGCAGGGAGATGGGGGATGGAGCAGCAGAGAGAGGGAGTGGGGAGATGGGACATGCAAAACTGCCCCAGGCCTCTTCAGCTCTCCCACTGTTTTCATCTGTGCGTTGCAAGTTAAGAACTTTTTCTTTCCCTTTTTAAAAAAAAAAAAAAGTTATTTGGTGTGTAGTGAAATAGGTGATTAGACTGTTTCCTGACTGAGGTAAAAAAAATACCTTAGCTCACAGGGTCTTTGGGGTGCAGCAAAACCCTTCAGGAGGTGCAGTGAAGTCACAGATATCATGGTGCCACCCCTCAGGCCAGTTCGATTTTACCTCAGGATCTTCCTGGCAGAGGACAAGGATCGCTGTTCACACAGAGAAACACAGGTACCCCAAAACAGCACAGGGGAAGGGGCAATGGTGGGTCAGCCAGTGCTCCAGGAGACGTGTCTGACCCAGGGGTGGTTCAGCCCCACCACTTTGGAAGGCAGCAGTAAAGGACACAGGGAGGTGGGGTTTAGTTCCCCGAGATCCCAGGGAAACAAGCCGCCATTTTGAGCACAGGCCGCCATTTTGTGTCAGCTTTGCTTTATTAACGAGACCTGTTCCCCCAGGTAGGTCTCACTGGGGGCCACCACAACATGGTTACAAGTCCTTTTGAGGAGGAAAAAAAAGGGGAGGTTTAAAACTTAAACTTCTAAGTCCTTTTTTAAAAAAAAAAAAGTTTTAAAAAAAGTTCCAGAATAATCAAAATCCAGAGTTGTCTTCACCAACCACATAATTTGCAGGTGAACTTAAAAGTAGCGATACACATTATGACACTACGAAGTCTATATTGCTATCGGTAAATTAAGCCTTAATGGAAAAACCCTTTCTGCTTCATCAGACTTGCAGGCTTTGTGGTTTTATCATCAGTGAAAGGACCATGAAAAATCGCCAGCAGAAAGCTCGGCCCTAAAGAGTACAAATTCAAGATTGCCATTAAGCATTTCATAGGGTGGGTTTCCCCTTTTAGCAACAGCTGTCAAAACAGACTATAAGAGGGTGGTGTTGGGGTTGTTTTGTTTATTTAAAAGAAACAAACAACCACAGATGCCCAGTCCAGCATCAAAGAAACCATCACCACTTATGGAGAGAATTCACACTTATATTCAATTTGAGCAGTGCTTAGTATATCTGTTACCTGGGGTGAAACCACTATTCTGCTAGGGGTGAAGAACCTTTTCAGAAGTAAATTGTCTCTAAATACTTGCCTGAGAATCAGAGGATAAGGCTCTGTTTAAGGAAAAGGCTTTTTTTGCTCAGCTGTTGCAAAGAGGTGTCCACATGATTAAACTGAAACGAAAGTGTATTAGAGATCTTCCTGCTTCTGATTTTTTCCCTGCCCACAAAATTTCACCGGAATAAGAAAGTGAAACAAGTCAGATGTGGTTTATTTTGTCATCTGGACATTTAGCAGACATCTACATTGTTACATAGCTCAAGGCAGTTTGGGGTTTTTTTTGTGTGGGTTTTTTTGTTTGTTGGTTTGGTTTTTTTTGGGGGTGTGTGTGGTTGTTTGTTTTTTTTTTTTTAGATCCAGGAGAAAACACCATAAATTAAAAAACTCAAAATTTGTAGACATTGTGTGGAGAAAAAAAAATAAATTGAATATGAATGGATAGTAAGAGATGTGATCCTAAAGAAACAAAACTGATTAGATATTCCTATTTTTGCTTTATTTTTAAGTATTTTAGAACTGGAGTTGCCTTTTGTCCCCACAAAACCACTGAGAATACTTTAACATCAGGAAGTTGGGAGGATACATTGATTTAATAAAAGGTTGGGGCTCAATGCAAAACTTCCCAGCTTATAAATATGAGTTGTTTTGAGCTCATTTAGCTCTTTTTATTCATGAGCAAGATCACCAAAAAAGAAAACAAGTTCATGCAGTTCTGAGGAATAATGAAGCAATCAAAAAAAGGCTATTTCAAAAATAGCCATTAAAAGCTAATAGCCAAACTAAAAGTAAAAATAGGTGCACAGGGGTCTGTTTAATCGCTAATGGATACAGGAGCATAATGCAATCTATTACAGGCTTTGAAAGCTGCAGTCTTTATCTATATTAATATTGTCCAGAAAGTTCTTCCATTTTAGGCATCAAGACCACATGACATCCCTTTGACTCCTACAACACTCACCTGCAGGGGTAGTTAAGGTTTTTAAATGAAAGTTTTCTTGTTCTAGGAAAAGAAACTGCAAGTTGAGAGCCTCAACTTCATCCGAATGGAAGAGTATCTGAAGCCTGAGCCATCCGTGATGTCTTGCAGCTCCTTCACAGCTCATGCAGTTTAACCTTCTGTGGTGTAAAGGTATGGATCCTACAAGTCATGGAAATTTACTGTGGAGTTGTTGGGTTGTTTGGGTTTTATTTTTTGAAAGAGAATAGGTATGAAGTTAAAAGATTTTCAAGCTTTTATCATTCATTACAACAGTTTAAAATCTACAAAGGCAATTGTATAAGAATGTAATAGAGACTAATAATATCACTCATACCAAAATAAAAGCACCAAAACTAAGAAGAAAAGTTTCCTGCACATACCAGACCACTCCTGAAGAATGCATTTATTATTTAAATCCAGATCTTTATTAATAAGTAACAGTAACTAGTAGGCCCACCAAAAAAAAAAGTATGTGAATGTTACTAGCAAATTTTTTACAATTCCATTTCAGACACTGCAAAACACAAAATTGCCACATACGTATTTTTAAAAATCAACAGACCAAAGGCTTTACCTGAGAAAGGCTCTAACCAGATTAGAACTTGATAGCAGGCCCTTTGGCCCTATAAATAGCACATCCCTGTGTCTGTGGGTGGGACTAAGGAATCCTCTTTTCCTGTTGGGCTGAACTGGAGACAAGGCTTTTTCCTTCTACCCTTCTCATTAGCAACCCTCCAAAAGTGAGCCTCATTTAGGCAGGTTAAAGCCTCTGTGCCTTCATAGTTGCTACAAATTAGCAAATTAGGTGATGTAAGGGGGAAGAAGGGCCAAAATAATTATAGATACCAGGGTGGTTTTGTTTCGTTTTGTTCTTTCAGGAAAGCCTAAATATTACAGAAGCAATTTCCCTTCAAGGCAATACTACTGCCAGATTCAAGAATCCTTACAGGAGAAAGGTGTGTATTCTAATAAGAGTAAAATTGTACAAATCCTACCTCTATCAACCAGAAATGCTGTCAAATTGCTGTTGTTTGACAATTGGCACATGGCTGCAAACAGCTGAAGGCCACAGGTCCTGCCCTGGAGGATTTATCCTGTGTGCAGTTCAACGGTGTTTGTTTCTGTCTTTGTTCTAAAGCACTCTGCGTTCAACATTCGGTCCATCTTCCCTTTATTCTAATCTTCTTTTCTTCTCACTGCTCAAACCCAAGCTTGAATACAGACTGTTGCAGTCAATTATCTGAAATCTTGCAGTATCACATGCTCAAAGCCCCTCAAATTCACTGCAGTAGGTGATCACTTGTAGCTTCTCTCACTCTTGCATTGTGATGCTTTTGTGGTATTTAACGCTGACATTTTAGCCCTTCCACATTTAATTCCCCCCCCTTCTCCAGACCTCACTGTTGCTTAAAATATCACGGCTAAATTTACTCTAGAGATGTAACATCCCTGTATTAAGACCATTGAGAGCAAGGCATCAAGTTTCTCGGTTTCTGCTGGGAAACCTATTTGTGTTGGTGCATCTGCCGAGAGTCCCCTGCTCTGGCTGTGCCTGTTCCATTGTCACTGTGCTCGCTGCCACCTCCTCACAACTTTGGAAGTAATTACTTTTTGCAGTATCAGGGGATCTCCAACATCCAGGGGCCACGTTGCTCAACTCAGTCATTGTCTGGGTGCGCTGACACCCATTTCAGAGACTCCTGGCTCCATTTTGTGTGACTGGCCCCCTGATTGCGATCACCTAATTACAATAATTAGGCAGCTCACCTCAGGATATTATGAGAGCAACCCACCCAAACCTAAGTCCATATGGTTTGAAATAGCTAATGAGTCAGTTAATGTGCTATGTCCAGGAGTAATGGACACTCAATATGGATGGCATGGAGGCATCATTTACCAACTTCCTGACTGATTAAGGTTTTTCATGTAGACACTTCTTGTATTTTGCATCTCATGGTGAGTTCAGAGTATTAAAGGCTTTTACATTTTAAACAGAGCAGAGGAAAGCAGCTGAGAGTTTTAAAAGGCAGGTAAGAAAATACTCCTCTCTTTAAAGAAAATACAGAACATTGGAGATCTTGGGAATTTCTTCTGAAATATAATACTGGAAATTATTTGACTGGTGCTGGTAAAATACAGGAGATGACAATGGCAATAGGTGACATCTGCTTTAATGTGAAGTGGCATGAATGAATGACTCCCAGACTTCTAGAGGGGACGCTTTAGCCTCTGGAATTTATGTACCCAGTCTCCTTTAACACTCCCCCTGCTACCTATGCCATGGAACTGAGCAGCAGTTCTGAACTAACCAGATCGGGGATTCAATACAAGGGCAAACCTTTTGGCAACAGAGGCACCAAAAGCCCTGAAGCAGGTCACAAGGGCTGTCTGGTTTTTGAATGAGCTACAGGATCTGTCTGCTCAGCCAGGGCCAGGATTCCTGTCCCTGAGCCTGTTCCTGTTCTCATTTTCATGGCTGTTGGGATGAGATGTGACTCCCTGTTCCTGTCACTGTAGCTGAAAAGACAGGCAGACCCTGGATGTGTTCCTTACCTCTTGGGTGTCAGAGGTTTCCTTGCTGGTGCCTTTAGAAAGCACTTATTTCGGAGCACTGAAGGAAAAGCGTTTTCTTTCCCATGTTTACTTTCTTTCAGAAATGTGTGAAGAGGTGATTTAAGTTTACTGCTGTTGTGGGAATGCCTTGTATTTGCAGGGAGAGCAGGATGTCTAGTGGCTGGAGCAGAGAGGGGGATCAGGAATGATTTCCCTTATGGGACTAATTCCTGGAGTCCTAATCCTGGCTCTGCTACTGACTGACTTTATATGAATAATTTCATTTTTGTGTCATTTTATCCATTTGAAGCAGTCTGGGTGGCTTGGGTGGAGGCACTGAGATTCTCAGGAATGGGATAAAGAGATTACAGGAATATTAGTAGTAGCACACCAGTGTTCTTGGTCAACAAGAAGCAGTGAACTCTGTAGCAGTGTATGTGAACAGGTTTAGAGAAGCCAAGAGGAATTTGGAAAGCACTCGGGGAGAAGGTGCACATATTCACTTCAGTCTTTCCATTTCTGAGATTAACCACATGAAGTTGTTCAAGAAGGGAAACTCATCTGTCATAGCATTCATTATTCACATATCAATGCTACTTTTTATGTATAAACTTAATTATGATGAGGGGATATATTAAATATGACTCGTTTTACTGCAAGATTGATTTTTTTTTCCCCTGACCTCAGAATAAATATTGATCTTCATGATCTTTAAATGTAGTGCAAAGGTTGTTTTATTAATGGCATATTAATAGAAAGTAGCCCTGACCATGCAATATTAATATATTTGCATTGTTATTCTCAGATCCCATCCAGAAGGAAGGAGGCAGGGTGCCAATGCCTTCTTTCCCAGGAAAGATCAGGAAGCTGTTGATTTTAATGACTGTTAAGACTCCTTCCAATTTGTTGTTGTGTTTTGGTTTTTTTGGTTTTGGGGTGTGTTTGGGAGTTTTTTCATTTAAAACAGCCGTGAAGTGACAAATATAGTGTATGATATGCCTAATAAAATAGTGCTGTCTCATGTGTCCAGCATTCCCAGGAAAGCAAGGCACTGTCCTAACCTGATGGTGCTCCACCACCCACTGCCAGGGGGTCAATTCCATGAGCAGAATCACGGTGGAGAGAAGATATGGGAGAATTTGGTGGTTTGGCATTCAGTGTCTGGGGCTCTGATTTCTTCAATAATCAGGCTATTAATTTTCTTAGCAGCTGATGTTTAAAAGCAGTTATCGTAGTCAAGTGAGGGTTTCCTTAATTAATTTATTTTTCTCTTCTGTCTTGCATTTTAGTGACTCTTGAAAATCCAGGCTTGGAGCTGCTGTTCTGACGGTTGGCTGAACCAAGGCAAGTGTGTTGTTTTTAAATACTCCTCACAGAAGAATTGTATGTGATTTTTTTCTGAAGTCTGCTCTATAAAGAGCAGGGATAAGAGATCACACACTGAAATAACCTTTGAATAGTTTCTATAATTCCTGAGAAAACAGTACCCACTTAGCTAAAGGATTTATAAACCCTGTTGTATCAGCAGTCTTTCTGTTTCATACATATTTTGAGTGCTTTGTGCCAGCTGACACAAGTCGACAGGGAAGATGACAGCTTCCATTCCAGAGTGTGTAGAACCAAAGGAAATAAATATTTGTCCACTATGACCCATTGCCATACAGGAAATACTTACAATTAAGAAAGGACTGTGCTATAAGCCACTAAAAATCTGGGAGCCTGACTTCAAAACTTTGCAGCTTTAGAACTAATTTTGAAAGAAAGAATAATCACAGTCCATTATAATAACTGGAAAGGGGAATAAAAGGCACTACTGCTCTACATCATGCCAGAATAACTTGGTATCTATCTTTGCTAAGCAAACTGATTTGGTAGACAAGAGAATTGTGATAGAACCAATTCATTGGGACTTCAAGGGCTTTAATGCTGAATGACATGGGGAACTATTAATTAAGCTGGAGAATGTGTAAGTACAAAAATGAAATGATGGGCAATGAGTAATAAACTGAAAGGGGAAATACCCACCGACAGAGAGGTTACCAGTTTCCAAGGGATCTACCTCAGGACCTGTTTCATTCAGTATTGCTGATTTCATGAGCAACAAAACCAAAACAGATGTGTCCTTAACCAATTTGCTGCAAAATAAAGTTGTGAGGCACTGGAGTGTTGGTGTAAGAGAAACAAAACAGAATTTCATGGTACAAAACTTAAGGTTGTGCTTCTTGAAACTGCTGGTTTGGAGGAAGAAGAGAAGAATCACAGGATGACCATGAGCAGGTAACGGGCCTTTAGATGTCTGAAGAAAAGTCAGACCTGATTCTAAGGTTGTATCAAATCAAATATTTTTTGATGAAATTCAGAACACATACTTGGTAGCCTTTCACTGAGAATTCAACTTCACATCCTGTCCACTCTGTAAGTGTTAAATCATGAAGGTTGTCTCAAACAGGGCAGAGGGCAATGATCATATCCAGTTTTTCTGTGAAAAGCAGAGCTGGATTCTGGAGTGGAAGAGGAACTCTTCTGCTGGAGGGCAATTCCTGTAAGAAACAGGTTTGATAAGAAATGGGGAAGAAATTTCTTGCCAGAGGCAGAGTAAACAGAACTCTGTGGCTTTTCAGATGTCAGGTGTGTTGAGGGGTAGGAACACACAGAAACCTCTTTGCATAAACAGTAAGTGGTAGGGAATTAATTATCTTGATAGTTGACTGAAGAGCTGGGCAGAGAACAGAAACAGAGTATTTGTTTTGTACCTTCAGAAGTACCAAGAAAGGTAATAATGAGGCTGCAGGTATCATGATGTGTATTATAAGTAGGTATTATAATGTTTTAGGATATTCAGGGCTGGATTTTGCAATCAACCCATCTTTCTCTGCTTCATGATGTGAACACCTATTACTTGCATGTACTTTCATCCCTTGCATGGGGAAAAAAAGGCAAGAACTGATGAGTTTTGAGATAATTTTGTTTTTTCCCCATAGGATTTTCTAGGAAAAGAAGTGATTTCAACCAATTTAAGCACTGTTATTAGTTTGGTGCTTCCAAAGTGTAGAGATACAATAATGGCTATTCCAGTAAATTAAGACAATGGCATTTAACTAGTGTTCCAGTAACATCCTGGGCTCAGTTTGTCCCAGAAGTTTTCAAGGGAAAATTGGAACTGTTTACTTGCTGGCTTAATGTTTTGATGAAAATGTAACTTTTTTGCACGTTGCTGTGACTTTAAAAATTAGTAACTAACTTACATATTAGGGTTATCAACAGACACAGTTAATGTATGTTACTGCACAGGGTCCTATGAATTTGCTTGTATGTGTGTCTGCTCTTCGCTTGTCTGCTTCTGGGTGTGATATTTTATTGGAGCACATGATTTAAAGGAGCTGATTGCCTGCTGGGGTATTTATCCTATATAAATTCTGCATTAAATGACAAATTTTAGACCCATCAGAGGCAGAAGACCAAGTCCATCCATTGAAATCCTATTTGTATTATTACTTTCTGATGAATTCTGTACTACAGCAGGTGTCAAATCATATCTGTTGTTTTGCAGTGAAGGACGAATAGAAGATGTATTGCTACTGCAAATGAATCTAATATGAATCTAATGAGCAGTAATGAGCAACTGTTTTGTCATTATTGAGGCAACCACTGTGATGCTAATAAACTCTCATTTCTGCTCTTTAGAAAAAAGCACTGACCAGGATTTATAACATGGCCTTAATGTCCCAAAAGCCTGAGGCAAAAGAGAAGAGTGGAACCCCTAAACTGAGCATAATTTAGTAATTTTCTGTGTGGCAGGCTTCTTATTTTCTCTTATTAAACGAACCCTGCTTTAAGTCTTTCAAGCTTTCTTACATTTGAAAGGAAAAAGATGAAGAATGAGTGTCTATTAAGGGAACATAAAGTTAAGGAGATGGGCATTCTGCCTTAATTTTCTTTAACGTAAGTGCCCTAATTCCATACTTCTACACTTGGCAGTGCTTCTGTAATGATACAGGCAACTGTGTGCAACTGTTTTAAAAGCAGTCACTTTGAAAGTAACAGGCCGTTAAATCAGTATAGAACTATAATATATTTGGGGGGAAATATCACAACTCCTTTAATTGAAACTTCATTTTTTAATTTTTTTTTTAATTTATTTGCATCCTCTATGGATCATGAGAGTGCTGAATAAACAGAAATACCTTTGACACAATAGCATCAATAGCTGTAGCACATAACTGAAATGTAAACGAGTTCTGACTCCTGTGTGGCTCTGCCTTTCCCAAGTATCAATAATACATGGAATGGTACATAAAGCTGTGGAAAGGGGACAGCTGGGTACACGGTGCTCACAAGTGGAGCACAGGAAAACCAGGCAGCTCTGCTTCTCTAAAAGCTAAGTACTATCCTTCCATCAAAAAATAATGCTTCTGTGTATACAGTCTTCATGGACTCATCTCTCTGTGCAATAAAGCTGGATGCACTGGAGAGATCATTCCAGTATTTCATTTGGAGCTCTGAACTGTTCTGTGTAGGGTGCAGCTGTTTGCTTTACTACAGTACACTGCAGACTTGCTGTAACTGCTCAGTGGAGACTGTGTGGGCAATATTTAAGGTATTCTATAGGCACAGCAGTGGCCCTGGGAATTCCTGAGCGAGCTGGGGCAAATGACAGCAGCCATCTCTCAGAGTTGCAAACAGGGTGTCAAAGGGGGTGTGGAAGCAGAAACTGTTCCTTCAGTGCTGGGGTATCCCAAGGACTTCGGGCACTCTGAGCAGGAGCTTAGTTAGCAAGAGTTCTCACTTCCTGACACAGCAGTTCCATCTGCTGCTGGAGGAGGGAGGGGAGCAGAAGTTGGGCTTCCCATCAGTTGCTCTGCCGGTGCTGTGCTGTTGTCAGGATGGGCCACTGCATTCAGCTTCTCCTCCCACATCAGTCATATATGGATCAGGTTTACTCACCCTCTGGGGACACCACAGGATTGGGTTTTAGTAATGCTTGATGTGCAGAGTTGAAAAAGGCAACTCAGCCCAGCAGCATCAGTGTTCTAGAGCTCACCTTTCTAGATGTATCCACTCTCACTCCAAGATTCTCGTGGCTTCTTTCACTCCTGGAGGAATTAGTTCTCATACTCCTCAACTGTTTTGTACCACAAACCAAGGCATGGTAAGGGGAGACAATCAGGGGCTTTGCTTTGGAAGTATAACCCTGGTCTGAACTCAAACCCTGGTGGAGAATGCATCCATAGTGTGGAAGAACAGGTGAAGCAAAAACAGACCCAAGTCCAAGTGTTAGTGTTAAACCAGCACCTTTAGTCAGGAGAGTCTGTGAGTTGCACATGATGATAAAGGACTGTGGTTCTAAAGTTTTTGTAAGAAATATCTGATTTCTTTGTGCATTATGGTGTAATGTACTGTATTAATCTCTTTACTGGGGATTTGATTCCTTAGATGATACGTAAATTTTTGTGACACAGCACATCTAATGAGGGCTTTTATACTGGGTGAGGAATTAATTGTACCATACGTAGAAGTTACAGTTTGAAGATGTAAATTAATATTGCATAAAAGTTCAAGACTATTTATATTTCACTTTGGTATCTAGAATTTCACAAAATCATAGAAATTCAGCTGAGCTCACTACAATTTTTCTGCCTGTATGAGATAAAACTGCCTTGTGTGAGTGTCCCTGCCACTGTCATTACGTCACTGCAGTGACCTGCTGTAACTGAGTGGTTCATCCACTGGGGCTTTATGGAAAGTAGATTGGCATGGGAAGGCATTTGAGGAAATCCCTTAAGGATGTAAATACCACTTGCAGGAATCCAGAGGCATGTGTCTTTAGGAAAAGAAAAAAGATTGCCTTCCAAGAATCCCAGCCTTCATATGCTACTACTTTTTACATAAATAATGAAACAGCTGTTTAGCATAACCACTGAAAGCACTGAAAACACCAAACCCCAGACAGTCTCCAGGGACAGCCTTCCCTTTGCTTATGGCTGTCTTCTCTGTTCTGCTGCCTCCTCAGAGTAAATGTCAACAGCAAATTAATCAAGAGGTCATTAAGCTCTAATAATCTATCCCAGTCCATCCCCTCGTTCACACAGAATGGAATCACAGAGTCATTTAGGTTGGAAAAGACCCCTAAGATTGTCAAGTCCAACTGTTAACCCAGCACTGCTGAGACCACACTAAACCAGGTCCCTGAGTTCCAAACCTACTCCTCTTTTAAATCCCTCCAGGATGAATCCACCACTTCCTTGGGCAGCCTCTTCCAGTGCTGGACAACCCTTTTGTGGAAATATTTTTTCCTAATATCCAGTCCAAACTGGATATCCTGTGGTA